TTTTTTTTTTTTTGTTTGTTTACTTTCTGTGCTGTACAAATTCAGTGTAAGTGAGTAGGCCAGAAATTTGACGAAGTGTAAATTAAAGGCTTTTTTTTGTGCTGCCTTTTTTTTTTAATTAGAAAAGTTGAAGTATGAAAAATGTTCGATAATTGTTTTAAGTAAGGTTGCATAAACCAGAATGTGAAGAGAATGCTGTTCATTTCAGTTGCCGAAGCAGTACCCAGGCAATCTGTGGCTAGATAGGGGGGGAAGCCCTGAAGATGCTCCTGTCGTCAAACATTACACTTTTGAACCAGCCGATTGATCCACAGAGGGTTTAATTGAATTTCTTATTTATACACATACGTGGACTGCAGTAGAAAAGTTTCAAACAAGCGAGGACACAATGCTGCCGAAAAAGCAAAACTTTCCTCCGTTTTCATTTATTTATATGAACAAAAACTGAAAAAAATCATTGAGTGAGTTAATAATGACAATATTTAAAGAGGATGTCACTAGCTGTTTTACCGTGCAGTTACTCATCAGGATTGATGAAAAATTAAACATGAGCTTTGTGCTGTGCTTATTAATGAGTTGGGACATCAACTGTTAGCTTCTTGTAGTGACTTTTTAATAAAGATTTAACAGTTGACACAACAATGTGAAGTGAAGTAGAAGAATCCCCCTCGATCTCGATACCCCCCCCCCCCCCCAACAGTTCCCGCCCGTTGGTAAAACGCCAATCACGTCAGAGATCGCTGCATGTTACTATATTGCCGTCTGAACAGTGCATAAATGCCAGACTAGTAAACATGAAATACTTCTCAACATTTACAGATCAAGGTTTGAGGATTCATCATAATCAGCGCGTTGATCTTGTATAAGAGAAAATTTAATTACATTGGAATCTATAAATATCAGCCATGATGGATAAGAAGTACCCCAGCTTTCGGCTCGAGTGCCTTCTTCAGGGGACAAAATAGGAAAAAAAGTTTGGTCCCTGAAGGCGACACACAAGCCCAAAGCGTGGGTACTTTTTAGCCATAAAAGTTGATCTTTATAGATGCGTGTCAATGAGATCAAGATTTCAAACGTTAACGAACATGGTAACATTTCTGATTAAGTAGACGTTCGTTATTTTGTCAATTTTATCAGGTAGCTAGTTGTTGATTTCCTTTTTAAACTGACGTATGGTAATCGATATCTGACGCTATTGTGGAACATGCATGGAGCTGAACTGCCAAGCGACATTTTTAGAAGACGAGGAAAATTTGTCATCGATTAATTTTACGCAAACGGTCACGATTACTTCTCCATATTGACAACCAGGCAAGATACCCTTGCACGACATAAAGTTTGGACGAGTTAAGATCTTTATTCAGAGCATGCTGAGGCTAACTTGTTTAGAACGTGCATAATGTCTACGGGTTGTCGGAACAGGAGGAGGGAGTCTCACTCGGCCATCGTCTTCTTTCTCACGGGGACAGAAGAATGCAACTAAGAAAACTAAAAAGAATCGGACAATGCGTTCGGGTCCCAGCCGGCTAACTCATCTTCGTGTGCACGTAACTGGAAGAGCCAGACTTTAAATGTGGGTCGTTTAAGGCGAAGAGTAATCCTGTTCTTTCCCGATCCAACGGACTTCTTAAACTCTACGCAAAATACCTAACCCACCCAGCCATACTTTCAGAACATAGGATGTTGTTGTCTTTTGTCACCTTGTTGGCATTCGTTACTTTTACCGCGGCAGAATCCACTAAAACTAAAGAATTCAGCTTCTCGACAGAAACGGTAAGAATGTGCCCAATATGCGGGAAATGTTAAATCTCACTTAGCATAGAACATGGGGGTAAACATTGCCCTTTTGTCTGAAGTTTCTTTTCCTGCGGTATGAGGCTTGATGAACGATCCATTGCTGGCAGTTTACCTCATAAATTTTGATGCAATTGATTTCCTATAAGGCAAAAACACCGGAAAACAACAGGCTTAACACCAGCTTTGTAATTAGAGAGGTTCTTCACGAATTACACGTAAATATCGATTCTTAGCCAGGTCACGCTTGTTTTCACGACTAAGCTGATCGTATTTCGAGGTAATTAATGAAGTAATTCATATTTTACATTATATTCTACGGCATATTGTCATAATTTAATTTGTGGAAACAATGTGTACTTCTGAGATGGTCCCTTAAAGATAAGCCTATCTTGTTAACTGTGAAATACATGTACCGTATTTATTTATTTATTATTAATTTTTTTTTGTGAATTGTTCGTAACAGGTAGCTAAGGTGTCTCCTGAATTTAATCGAACGATTGCTAAAGAGTATTTCAATTCAAATTATTCCTGTATTGGCGCATACATTTTTATGACCTTCCACACTGTAATATAATATGTAATCGATACATTACATGTTATGTATTACTATGTTACCGCTATCATTATACAGGCCCGTAGCCAGGGGGGAGGGGGTTCGAAAGAACCCCCCTTTTTGCTGAGAAAAGGTCCACTCTGGGTTAATTTGATCTAGGTAAAGGTTTTAACAAAAGTTAAAAGTTTCATGACAAAAGGTCCACATTTTCAGAAAAAGAACCCCTCTTTCGGAATTGCTGGCTACGGGCCTGTTATGTAATAACCGCTGTTGTTTCACTCTAGGGTGAGGTCACTGCGGCCGGAGTCACCTGTAAATGGATTGAAGTCAAGCCAGGTCCCAACTCTCGTGAAAGACTGGCGCGCGGTATCAGACTCTACGGCTGCAAGGGGATATCAGGTTCCCTGGATTGCGGATATTTCGGAGGTTTCCCGGTCGACTGCAACAAGGACATGAGCTACAGGGACTACTTGCAGGACCTTGCTGTCGAGGCCATGAACGGAGGTCGGGTGTGCTCTACCCCTGAGATTATAGACAGACACTGTGGACAGAAGTACAGGTGTGTCCACGGCCCGTGCAAGATGAAATCAGAGCTTTGAATAAGCGCCTGGTGCATGAAGAAAATCAGAACTGGCGCAGAAAGGCGACCGGACCAAGGCCGTACTCGAGTAACGCCGTTATTGAACTTCCAGTTGAGTAACGACATCGGAGCTTTGACGGGACAATAAAGGGTATTTACATATACGACTGACCGTGATCGTATGATGTTGCTGGAGCTTTCACTGAAAAGAGATGCTGCTGTGGCAAACCAAAAATACATTACGTTGTGAAAACTGTCAGAGAGAGAGAGAGAGAGAGAGAGAGAGGAAGTGAATACAGGGCATTGCTCCTACAACTGCGCACTACCAAAATACTTTGTAGAAGATGGTGTTACTCTTTACACTAAGCTCTGAGGTAAATCTTTTCCCTAGGATCTAAGCGAAATCTTCTTGATTAAAACATCAACTGGAGTCCGTTTATTTTCTTTCCCCAACTTTATTCGGCATCTTCTTTATCTCAAATTTTCCTCCCCAGAATGACTGCAAACCTTATCTCTATGCCTAGGTAGACCTTTACTGGTATCTCAATGTACTTAATTACATTATTACACGTTTATTATACAAGATGAGATATGAATCATTACATCATTAAACAGGGCACCACTTGATGAACTCACACATGGGAGATGGGAACCCATGAAGTGATAAACGTGAAAGTAGTTTTGGAGACTGCCGACCTTCATCAGGTGCTTTGACAACGTGGTAAGAGAATTGCCGCAAATGAAAAATAATTATTGATAGACAGTGGCAATGTATAAAATGTATTACGGTTATTTAAAATGTTCTTTTGCTGATTCGTGGCTGCTCTTTTGACAAAATCGAGGATTTGTGCTATATAGGCAAAATTGAAAAAAAAAATGAACACTAAAATTTTGCAGTATCTATTTATATGTAACAGCCAAGCGATTATTGATGCTGTTAAAGTAATAAAGAAGCTTACTTTCACATCCCTCGTAATTCCAGTTCATTATATATTACTTTCAATAAACGCTAATTTTATATCTCTGAAATTTGACAGCCGATATAAACAATGTAAACAAATATTTTCTATTCGACTGAGAAAGAACCTTGTCGTATCTCCACTTAGTCTTCCATATTCCAGTCATTTTGTTTGATATACCAAGTTTAAGCTATGTATTTGTCATGCGCATCGTAATAACTCTGATAGAGACAGTAGACTATTGTCATTAAGACGCCGGGTTGCGTGTCACAGGGCGGTTATACGTGTGTTCAACTTGAGACGAGGTTTATCACGAATAGTCATCTACTAAGATGTGAATTGCATCCACTTTTTGGAAATATAGTACACTGGACGGCTTTACCTGCATTCTGTCTTGCATTCTCTTGGTTACAGTTTAGACAATCAAAAAGTTTAATTCATTCGAGGTTAAAGCAATGTCGTAGTCTGTGACAAGGGAACGGGAAACAAAAGATGTGCCGAAGTTAGCGCCACTCTCTTCACACAATATTACCTTTTGTTTACATCGCGTTATACGAGCTACAATTTTTNGGAGCCCTGAAGATGCTCCTGTCGTCAAACATTACACTTTTGAACCAGCCGATTGATCCACAGAGGGTTTAATTGAATTTCTTATTTATACACATACGTGGACTGCAGTAGAAAAGTTTCAAACAAGCGAGGACACAATGCTGCCGAAAAAGCAAAACTTTCCTCCGTTTTCATTTATTTATATGAACAAAAAATGAAAAAATCATTGAGTGGGTTAATAATGACAATATTTAAAGAGGATGACACTAGCTGTTTTACCGTGCAGTTACTCATCAGGATTGATGAAAAATTAAACATGAGCTTTGTGCTGTGCTTATTAATGAGTTGGAATATCAACTGTCAACTTCTTGTAGTGACTTTTTAATAAAGATTTAACAGTTGACACAACAATGTGAAGTGAAGTAGAAGAATCCCCCTCGATCTCGATACCCCCCCCCCCCCAACAGTTCCCGCCCGTTGGTAAAACGCCAATCACGTCAGAGATCTCTGCATGTTACAATATTGCCGTCTGAACAGTGCATAAATACCAGACTAGTAAACATGAAATACTTCTCAACATTTACAGATCAAGGTTTGAGGATTCTTCATAATCAGCGCGTTGATCTTGTATAAGAGAAAATTTAATTACATTGGAATCTATAAATATCAGCCATGATGGATAAGAAGTACTCGAGCTTTCGACTCGAGTGCCTTCTTCAGGGGCCAAAATAGGAAAAAAAGTTTGGTCCCTGAAGGCGACACACAAGCCCAAAGCGTGGGTACTTTTTAGCCATAAAAGTTGATATTTATAGATGCGTGTCAATGAGATCAAGATTTCAAACGTTAACGAACATGGTAACATTTCTGATTAAGTAGACGTTCGTTATTTTGTCAATTTTATCAGGTAGCTAGTTGTTGATTTCCTTTTTAAACTGACGTATGGTAATCGATATCTGACGCTATTGTGGAACATGCATGGAGCTGAACTGCCAAGCGACATTTTTAGAAGACGAGGAAAATTTGTCATCGATTAATTTTACGCAAACGGTCACGATTACTTCTCCATATTGACAACCAGGCAAGATACCCTTGCACGACATAAAGTTTGGACGAGTTAAGATCTTTATTCAGAGCATGCTGAGGCTAACTTGTTTAGAACGCGCATAATATCTACGGGGTGTCGGAACAGGAGGAGGGAGTCTCACTCGGCCATCGTCTTCTTTTTCACGGGGACAGAAGAATGCAACTAAGAAAACTAAAAAGAATCGGACAATGGGTTCGGGTCCCAGCCGGCTAACTCATCTTCGTGTGCACGTAACTGGAAGAGCCCGACTTTAAATGTGGGTCGTTTAAGGCGAAGAGTAATCCTGTTCTTCCCCGATCCAACGGACTTCTTAAACTCTACGCAAAATACCTAACCCACCCAGCCATACTTTCAGAACATAGGATGTTGTTGTCTTTTGTCACTTTGATGGCATTCGTTACTTTTACCGCGGCAGAATCCACTAAAACTAAAGAATTCAGCTTCTCGACAGAAACGGTAAGAATGTGCCCAATATGCGGGAAATGTTCAATCTCACTTAGCATAGAACATGGGGGTAAACATTGCCCTTTTGTCTGAAGTTTCTTTTCCTGCGGTATGAGGCTTGATGAACGATCCATTGCTGGCAGTTTACCTCATAAATTTTGATGCAATTGATTTCCTATAAGGCAAAAACACCGGAAAACAACAGGCTTAACACCGGCTTTGTAATTAGAGAGGTTCTTCACGAATTACACGTAAATATCGATTCTTAGCCAGGTCACGCTTGTTTTCACGACTAAGCTGATCGTATTTCGAGGTAATTAATGAAGTAATTCATATTTTACATTATATTCTACGGCATATTGTCATAATTTAATTTGCGGAAACAATGTGTACTTCTGAGATGATCCCTTAAAGATAAGCCTATCTTGTTAACTGTGAAATACATGTACCGTATTTATTTATTTATTATTATTTTTTTTTTGTGAATTGTTCGTAACAGGTAGCTAAGGTGTCTTCTGAATTTAATCGAACGATTGCTAAAGAGTATTTCAATTCAAATTATTCCTGTATTGGCGCATACATTTTTATGACCTTCCACACTGTAATATAATATGTAATCGATACATTACATGTTATGTTTTACTGTGTTACCGCTATCATTATACAGGCCCGTAGCCGGGGGGGGGGGGGGGGGTTCAAAAGAACCCCCCTATTTACTGAGAAAAGGTCCACTCTGGGTTAATTTGATCTAGGTTAAGTTTTAACAAAAGTTAAAAGTTTCATTACAAAAGGTCCACATTTTCAGAAAAAGAACACCCCCCCCCCCTTTCGCAATTGCTGGCTACGGGCCTGTTATGTAATAACCGCTGTCATTTCACTCTAGGGTGAGGTCACTGCAGCCGGAGTCACCTGTAAATGGATTGAAGTCAAACCAGGTCCCAACTCTCGTGAAAGACTGGCGCGCGGTATCAGACTCTACGGCTGCAAGGGGATTTCGGGTTCCCTAGATTGCGGATATTTCGGAGGATTCCCGGTCGACTGCAACAAGGACATGAGCTACAGGGACTACTTGCAGGACCTTGCTGTCGAGGCCATGAACGGAGGTCGGGTGTGCTCTACCCCTGAGATTATAGACAGACACTGTGGACAGAAGTACAGGTGTGTCCACGGCCCGTGCAAGACGAAATCAGAGCTTTGAATAAGCGCCTGGTGCATGAAGAAAATCAGAACTGGCGCAGAAAGGCGACCAGACCAAGGCCGTACTCGAGTAACGCCGTGATTGAACTTCCAGTTGAGTAACGACATCGGAGCTTTGACGGGACGATAAAGGGTATTTACATATACGACTGACCGTGATCGTATGATGTTGCTGGAGCTTTCACTGAAAAGAGACGCTGCTGTGGCAAACCAAAAATACATTACGTTGTGAAAACTGTCAGAGAGAGAGGAAGTGAATACAGGGCATTGCTCCTACAACTGCGCACTACCAAAATACTTTGTAGAAGATGGTGTTGCTCTTTACACTAAGCTCTGAGGTAAATCTTTTCCCTAGGATCTAAGCGAAATCTTCTTGATTAAAGCATCAACTGGAGTCCGTTTATTTTCTTTCCCCAACTTTATTCGGCATCTTCTTTATCTCAAATTTTCCTCCCCAGAATGGCTGCAAACCTTATCTCTATGCCTAGGTAGACCTTTACTGGTATCTCAATGTACTTAATTACATTATTACACGTTTATTATACAAGATGAGATATGAATCATTACATCATTACACAGGACACCATTTGATGAACTCACACATGGGAGATGGGAACCCATGAAGTGATAAACGTGAAAGTAGTTTTGGAGACTGCCGACCTTCATCAGGGGCTTTGACAACGTGGTAAGAGAATTGCCGCAAATGAAAAATAATTATTGATAGACAGTGGCAATGTATAAAATGTATTATGGTTATTTGAAATGTTCTTTTGCTGATTCGTGGCTGCTGTTTTGACAAAATCGAGGATTTGTGCTATATAGGCAAAATTGAAAAAAAAAATGAACACTAAAATTTTGCAGTATCTATTTATATGTAACAGCCAAGCTATTATTGATGCTGTTAAAGTAATAAAGAAGCTTACTTTCACATCCCTCGTAATTCCAGTTCATTATATATTACTTTCAATAAACGCTAATTCTATATCTCTGAAATTTGACAGCCGATATAAACAATGTAAACAAATATTTTCTATTCGACTGAGAAAGAACCTTGTCGTATCTCCACTTAGTCTGCCATATTCCAGTCATTTTGTTTGATATACCAAGTTTAAGCTATGTATTTGTCATGCGCATCGTAATAACTCTGATAGAGACAGTAGACTATTGTCATTAAGACGCCGGGTTGCGTGTCACAGGGCGGTTATACGTGTGTTCAACTTGAGACGAGGTTTATCACGAATAGTCATCAACTAAGATGTGAATTGCATCCACTTTTTGGAAATATAGTACACTGGACGGCTTTACCTGCATTCTGTCTTGCATTCTCTTGGTTACAGTTTAGACAATCAAAAAGTTTAATTCATTCGAGGTTAAAGCAATGTCGTAGTCTGTGACAAGGGAACGGGAAACAAAAGATGTGCCGAAGTTAGCCACTCTCTTCACACAATATTACCTTTTGTTTACATCGCGTTATACGAGCTACAATTTCTAACTCTTTCGGTTAAAAAACCCGGGGGTGTCGCACTTGCATCCAACAACCATAGTAACCGGAACCATAGTACAGGAGCCATAGCATCAGGAACTTAAGTAGCCGGAACCGTAGTAACAGAAACCATAGTAACCAGGGATGAAGTCCTCTCACAAGGCCGCTGTGTTCTTTCTCATCGCCGGGTCCGTCGTAGTCACGTTCAACTTGAACATGCTTAGTTTAATGTTTCAGGATAAATACAGGTGAGGTAGTCTTGGTTTAATAGCGTCTTGTTATTGCAATAACTTGATAAAATTTGGGGCATTTACAGATTTATCAAGAATTTTCAAGTGTGAGTTTTGTTTTGTCAGTTATCAAAATTTTCTTATCTTGTACCTTTCCTATAACAGACAACTAATTAGAATTGCAAATGCTGCCATATCTACTACTTGTATACCTGTATCTACCACCCCCTGCATTTAGATTATATGTGCCCTAACATCAATGAAACATTTGTGTTATGCGTCTAGCTTGCCTCTCGAAACAGCAAACCATCCCAGCAACAACCGGGGTCATGCTAGAGTGATGAACGCAGGGAGTCACACAGCGGTCGAATATGGACAGCGAAACAAGCCGAAAACGGCCGAAATTCGTCCTCCGGGGAGTCACGTGACCGTCAGACCGTGGGTCAATATACAGAGGCCGGGCCCAGTGGGGATGAGCCCGGATATCGTGGAAGTGTCGCTTGTCACCAGGTGCACGGGACGCTCCAGACAGTTAACAGAGGGCGCCTGCAGCTGCGTTCATTTCACCGATCACAACCTCCCGCTGACTATCCTCCAGAGTTTTCCAGGAGCAGGCAACACCTGGGTCCGCCATCTTCTTCAAGAAGCATCAGGTGAGCTTTCTTGTCTCATTGTCAGCGTTTCCTCAATAATTTTAGCCTTTCTTCAGTAATTTTAGATATTTTGTGAGACACGTTGAGGTTTTTACGAATACGCCTTAAAATAATTTATTATTTTTGTTATTATTATTATTATTATCTAAAATGATACACTCTACATATTGCTATTTCTATCAATATTTCAGCGAGAAATGTACAGCTTAAGGACATGCTTTATAAGTTTTAAAATACTGTAAACGATTGAACTGTTATTTTAAACATACTTAAACACTACCCTCTACCAGGGTGGCCGATTATATAGGGAAAACTGGGAAAAACCAGAGATAGTAAAATGACCGTCTATTTATCTAAAGACATATTTGTGAATATCCTGTGAAAAGTCAGTCTGTGGCCATGGTAGAGGGTACATTAACACTCCCTAAAGCTTAATTTTCTAATAATGCCATTATCTTTTTAAATTTCTTATTTCTTAACATTTTGAGTGTAAAAAAGACCTGTGCTACTCGTGTTGTTGTTTATTGATCGCTAAAGTAAAAAAAAAAAAAAAAATATATATATATATATATATATATATATATATATATATATATATATATATACACATCCCTCACCGGAAATTAAAATTAATTTAACCGTTGTTGTATTTCAGGTATTTTCACAGGAAGCGTTTACAATGACGTCACGTTGCGCGAGAAGGGGTTCCTGGGTGAGGGCCGCGTGGACCCACGGGTTATTGCAATCAAGTCACATTATCCTTACCGCCAGACTGCGGCTCGGCTGGGGAGGGGTAAGGTAGAGAAGGTGGTCCTCTTGATGCGCCGGCTGGAGGACGCAGTGATCAGCGAGTGGAACAGACAATCCGGCTCACATACAGGCTTTGTCTCCAATGACGTTCAACCGAAAGGTACTAGAATACAGCGTCTTCTTTCTATCTTTTCTTTATTATTTTTTTAATCATAGGCCCCTATTCTGCCGAAGAGAGAAATGGTATCGGAGTTTTACCTTAGCTTAAAGTCTTTGCCACTAGGTCACACTAAATGATTTTAAGTTATTATTCATTGGCGAAAAATATCCAACTAGAACATTTTGGTGTTTCCTTTATACCAATGCTGACCCCAGCTTCTCCACCCATTAAAATGACGAATATTCTAATAGTGTGCTCTATGTGTGGTTTTCAATTATGCTCGAAGCAAACGTAATTTATTACTATTTTTTGCCAATTTGAGCAAATGTGCATGTTTACCAATGATTTGGTAATACTCTTAAATGCAGTGTAAACGTCATAAACACGGTGTTATGTTGAGAACATACTGGTATTAAGATGATCTTTAAATCCAAAATTCTTTTACTTAAGCTTGTAAGATGTGCAAAAGTTTGATTGACTAGAAATAGGTCTAGTAAGTAGCTCTGTTTGAAAGAAACGTAACATGGATTCGTATTTCTAGTTTCACTTTCACTTTATTTCAGCATTTGAAAAGTTTGTTCGCCGCTACGTGTCTGTATTTTGCGACGGGGCTGTCATGGGGTGGATTAGGCAAGCGAAGGTCCCCATGTTTGTGCTGAGGTAGGTGACTATGTACACTTCATCTAAATACTCAAGTTTTTATTGCTTTAGTTGAGAAAGGACACATCTGAGAGAGTTTGACACCAAAGGCCTACGCAAACTCTGCTGAGCTTGTTTGGAAAAAAATACCTACAGGTCTTTGAGTAAAATATTAGTTAGTTTTCAGAAGTGATTGATTTCGTATGATTTATCTGTTTTAATGACAATGCTACTCTCAATCACGGGCGAAAAGGATCAACATTTTACAAACTTTCTCAATTCCAGGTATGAAGCTTTAAAGAAGAACCTGGGCGCAGCACTGTCCTCGGTACTAGCCTTTTTAGAGAGCAGCGTCTCTGCTGAGCAGATGCAGTGCGTCGTGAAAAATTCTGAGGGGAAATTTCACCGCAATCACAATAGCACAGGGGCCAGTCTGCTCACTGGTGAACTGAAAAAACTCATTAAAGATACAGAGGACAAGATAAAGGCCGCTTTGAGACAGAGGAGAGCGGAGACGCCCCAGCATACCTGTGGTCACGTGGAGGACGCCGATCACGTGATCACCGACAGTCAGCCAGTTCCCAAAAATTGAAAATGGCTATTAAATCACTAGTTGAAGTTACATTTTAGAAATGGCAGTTTCAACTACTAAACACAAATCTAACATCGGAATATACAATTCAAGCACGTGACGACAGTTGAACAAAACCAACACGGTTTCCACACCATATTTTCTCTTATTAATTTCTCAGGGTGATTAATATTGATAATTACAGTTTGGTGGATCCAGATCCAGATAATATTCACCCAGGTGGTGCTAATAATAGTTACCTTATTGTTGTAATACCTTTTATTAAGGCTTGTAACATTTGAAACAATAAAACTGTTGTACCACAAACTTCTGTTTTTATACATGTGTATAAAGCCTAATTTGTCTCAAGCGTAAAGAAAACTACAAGCAGCCTGCTGCTTCTTTGATGTCAAGCTTCCTCGCCATTTTATGACTTTTATGAGCATATTTCATTTTCACAGTCTCCGTAGAGTTTGTTATTGTATAAGAGAGGTTCCATAGACTTCTGTGTATGTACATAAATATTCAATTACAATACTGTGCCCTCTAGCAGGGTACTTTTCCCCAGCGGGAGAGAATCAGAGAAACGTTGAATGGATTTGCCAGAGACATATCTGTGAATATATATATATACAGAAATAGTGAAAAATCGATCTGTGACCCTGGTAGAAGGTACAGATGCTGTAATCCTACAATGAAATCCATATTCCTCTTTTGAAGAAAAAACTTATAACATTCATAATTTTGGTCAATCACAATTCATAAACAGAGAGTCAAATTAGAAAAAAGTATATATGATTGTCGTCATTGGGAATTACTGTTTTCCATTGGCGTATACTTGTCAGAATTGTTGTAAAAACGTTAAGTGTTTAACGTCATATGTATGACGATTCTTTTGCTTGCGTCACACAAGACACAATGTTGCTGTATAAGTTCACGTCACACATGATGTCACGTGGATTGGAGGATCAGTTTTCCCCGTGGCAGACGACAACTTTTCCATCCTGATCTCCACCTGGCGGGCTGATAGTTACATAGGAATACTGAAACGGGAGGGAAAGTTAAATCAAAGTTAATATAAAATGCTGATAACTTTTTATCAGTTTGCAAATGGGTAATGTTGAATAGTGCGGATGAACATCTTATGGGGAGAAAAAAGATGGCTTTATTAAAAAAAATGTTGAATAGTGCGGATGAACATCTTATGGGGAGAAAAAAAGATGGCTTTATTAAAAAAAGTCGAACTGATCCAGATTTAGTTGTGTTTTTAAGCGCAAGGCAACTTTAATTAGTATAATATAAAATGTAACTTTTTTTCAGCATATTACTTTTAATAACAAATATGTATTCAGTCCATTATTTACCTCTTTAGCACATTTAGTCCACGCCCCAGTGTTGGCATAAATAAGGTCATTCTTGGTGAAAGAATCTATTTTCTCCAAAACCCAACGGTGTGTGTGTGCCAATACCACCACATCTTCTGCGCATGCGTACAGGAGTTTGTCATAATTCCCCATGGCGGCCTTTACCATGTGGAACACTATGTCGTCGCCTCTCTGCGGGAAACAGCAATTTTTGAAAGATTTTAATGAAGTGTTGTGTATTTCGTTATGATATTACCGGTATATTACTCACTGTTTCCTACTTATCAGAGAAATGTAAGGTTGTAAAGGAAGCACTTGCAAAACAAATGGGGAAGCTATAGAAATGGCTTACCAATTTATTCAGCAGGCGAATGTAAGGATAGTTGAGGATGGTTCTCAGAGTCACAAATTTATCTTCGGCAATCACCAACTTCCATTCTCCGTCGAGTTTAGACGTGCCGAAGGCGCCCTCCATCAGATTTCTCGTTAGCTTCTTTTGCACAGTTGCTCCCGCAAGGATTCTGGACAGATCATCTTCCAGAGACTTGGGAATTGTTCGTAAGAGCCCCTGGAGGAAGCTCAACAGTAGATGTTCCACGTCGTGCATACCATCAAACCTTTGGCTGCTAGCGACGGCTCTGGCAACATAGTAACCCACAGGGTATCCAGCGATAAGTTCCCCAGTGTCGCGTAGTGCATACGAGTTGAAGAGATCCCAGTCATGGCCGTGTGCAAAACGGATGCGGTACTGGTTCCCGCCACCGTCGTTGATTTTATAGATAAGCGTTCCTTCAACAAATCGAACCTTGGGCCCAAAAAACTTTTGCACCATTTCTGCCGTTATTTCGTGATCATGGTTTCCTCGGACGAAAAATACGTTGACATCCTTTTCATCAACCATGCGCCTGACCGAGCTGGTGAAATATTCGACCACTGGATCTGCCGTCCATTTCTTGGCTTGTTCTTCTATGGTTGGCGGGACTTGGTGTATGTCGTCAAGCCACATCTCGAACACGTCGCCAAGCATCACGTACGTGTGGATGCGCTCATTGGTCAGCATTTGGTCCATCTGGTACCGGACTTTGTCCGCCATTCCGTCTGACCAATAGCAGCTGAGGTGAATGTCGCTCATGACGTGGATCTCGCGTTTTTGGTTTTCTGGAGCGATGGCGAACTCTACCTGGAATGTGGTTCATGAATATATTTGAATTTGAAAGATTAAAAAAAAATTATGTCAGGTTTCAACGGCAACTCTTAGCGTAATACAAGCAATGCTCATTGTGTAAACCGCGTGATTGTGTAAAACATTCTTGAGAACCAAACTTAAAGGGATAATAACTCTTCGTTTTGGCCAAAAAATGAATTTTCCTGGAGTAAACAACAATTTTCCCATACTTGCCAATGGCTAATGAATCCATTTTTACATTCAAAGTTAGCCCCTGTTTTTTTTTTTTTTTTTAAGTTTGGTTTTTTGTTAAAATCTCTTAAGAGATTGTAACAGAGTATAGCTATCAATGGAGGTCACGTGGTCTGAAGACAAGCTCAGATATCAGAATAAAAGCTATAACTGCTGCTTTTGTCGTAAAACAGAATATATTATATTTCTGTGAATTATTCACAATGTTTTTATAGTGAAATATAGACCTCATACGAAGAGTTATTATCCCTTTAAACTAAATTAAAAATTAAGAAAAATGCTCGTTAGCGACAGTTCATTGAATCAAGATTACAGGAAAATAGGATTTTTTAAGCCGGACACTGAACATAGTATGTCCTCCATCACTTACCTCCATCACTGGTTCGCTCGCCGTCCCCAACGGGGTCATATACTCGAACTCCACTTTTCGTTTGGCCCGCCAAACCTCCTTGTCCTTCTTGTATTCCTGAATATCCAATTGTTCGTTGGGATCCAATATGGCGGGCTCATTGTCTGCTGTGGATGGGAGAGGAATGTCGTCTGCCTCATATATGCTGAAATCGGCATCGCAGAATTCTGGAAGCACCTCTTTCCAGTTTCCAGGCGGCAGATCTTGGATTGCTGTGACGACGGAACTATCGGAAACCAGGCGACAAGTTTGGTCTATCATATTACAGATGTATGTTTTAGCTCCTGGCCCGCTTATCTGTGAGCTGTACCGAAACTAAATGAAAAGTACAAAAATGTGTGATTGAAAACAACTTTACAGAAACTTTGTGATAGCAAATTGGTAAGCTGGGGGCATAGGCACTGTTCAATAACTCTTACATTTAGTTAGAAATGATAATATTTCTTATTTTCCAATATTTGTTTTTCATACGTCCCGTAAAAGTCAAAACTGCCCATATTAAGTAAAGAAATACTGTATAGCACGTTGCAGTGTACTGAAATGCTACTTCGCACAGATTCCACAATCAGTAATAATGGCCTGATAAACGTGATAACACCCACTTTGCCTGATGAAACAATTAGGTTCAATCTGACACAGTTAAAAGTATGGTGTTATCAGTAATATATGAGGATTAATACACAACCAATGTTACCTTGTTGAGATCATAAACATTGAATACCTGTTATGGCGATTATAACTAAAAGAAGGGCGGAATTCGCGTCGTGTACCGAGGTCACGAGCCGTTCAACACTGTACATAGATACCAGCGATAGATTTATAGTAACAGTTCGTCAGATTAAGGCGCGAAATCACGCTTATACCGGGGGTACTAAGCAACTATCAAATTATCGAAATTACACTTTATGACATGTCCTATGAACATGCACCTTTAAGACAGCTTTTAACTCGGATTTGTTATATATTTTCATTTTGCACAAATGCAAATTTGCAAAATGCTTGTTACTGATAAAATTGTTATAAAGTTCATCAATTCATTTACGAAATAATGCTTTAAACGCATCTTAAAGAGAATGCTTGGGTCCTCACGACGATGGAAAGATAAATGGTAAGGGCCAGGATATCTCTCACTGTCAGGTAGACCAATTACACTCAGACCAAAGTTTTACAGCTGCTGCCTGTGTGAACTGACTACCGTAGTCCAGCGATACAAACACATTTTGTGTCTCTATTTATTTGAATAACATGAACAAAACGTAAAGTGGAAACCTGTGCATTACGCCATTTCTGTCTAATGACTGTTCTCGAATCGAAACTTTGCTTATCATTTACTAGTACATAATTTATCATATACAACAAACAAAATATACATACAAACAAACAAACAAGGACTATGTACTATACACGGCCGTGGTTTAATTTCGAATACTGCCCAGTGTCTGAACATGCCGGTTTATACCTTAGCAGTGGATCGATTCTGGAAGAAACACTTCTTTATACTAAAAAACTTAACCTTTGCCTCAAACATCTGCTAGATGCATTTTGTCTGTGTAAACCTAACTAACATTTAATTCGTCTGGAAGGCCTTCCATTGCAAGCATTCGTATGTTCCACACTTTCTCCTCTACAGTATAGGCCTATACAGTTCACTGAAACATTTACTTTTGCCCAGAACCATAAACTGGTTGCCATGTATCAGAAAAACCGATGGTGATCAACGGTGATATCTGATAGTGATACTATCGAACCAACTGTATCAAACGGCTCATAGACTATTTACTGTCTACCTTTTCGGGTTGTTTCGCATCTCCTCCAGTCGAATTCCTTGATTGGCCATTCTTTCCATCTGCAGACGGTCTGACATCAACCACCTTAGACTCCTGACAACCCATGATGCTGTCCACAGCGGAGCAGACGCTTGCCACTGAACCTCCAATATATACAGCCAAAACAAGACCACGTCGCCCCTGTACTAAATAGTTGTGTTCACAACGTCACCCTTATCTGGGCATACGATTAATGGGGTCTATTAAGTTGACTAATATCTCAAGTCCCCTTATATTAGTTGCACGACATCAGTGAACTTGTGTTTTTAGCGCGTCTCCCCATTTCCGCTAACAGGGGCTAGCTATAATATAAGAAAGCCGACTTTGGAGAGAACTGGGTAAATCTCCAGTCCAGTGTGAGCGCTGCTTTTCTCTCTGAAACCCTCTGCTTTTTAACGGACGCGGTGCCCTTTTCAGGTCCCTCACGTGCTGTGATAACAGAAAATCAGGGGGAGGGGGAGGTGGGGTGGGGGTTGGGGTAATATTATGCTTGTTGTTTAATACCATTTGTAGGTAAAACAGAATTTAGGTGTATGCCATAATTGCTTGGTGTTACATATATACTGGAAAGCAATGAGTCTGTATAAGAGTGTCTAATTGCTACAGATATATTTTCCAGGTCAGATGATTTGCAGCAGCTGGGTAGTTTATTTTATATAAATAAAGCAAAATCTTATCTGGATGGATAACACGACTTGTTTTACTTCCTATACGGCAACCGCTCGTTATAGAGAAAATTATTTTTAAAACTGCCCAATGTTTGTGATATCACTAGCCACAACACTGTTTCATTTGACAGCGTTCCATTAGCTACGAGATTGTCGCTATTTGCTCACTGCTATGCACACAGATATTTGACGGGCGTTCACAGTTCTAGCGAAATCCTAATTCAAGTAACCGTCCATTTACCGCCAATATTTGCCTTCAAAACAGGGTTATATAAGACTGCCATTACTGTTAAGAACGTCGAGTTGTTAACTTTCAGGAAAAACTTAAGCACTTTTGGTATTTTCTTCCGCAAGTGCCACAATCTTGTTCCTTGGTTTCAATGCTATGACAATAAATAAATAAATAAATAAATAAATAAATAAATAAATAAATAAATAAACAATGCATAATACCACTTAAATGCGGCGTTGTGTGTACCTTTGCTCAAATATTAATCTCATATCATAACTGTTGAGAGACTACGCAGATAAGATTAACGGATAAGATTAAGTGCTTTCAATCACACGATTCCGGACGCATTGCATCAGGTGTTCTAGTACTAGTGTAATTTGCTGAGCTCTCCTATATTACCCATTCTCTATCTTTTAACCAGCCATTGTTTTCATTGTCAGGTGAAATTGATTGATACTTTATATTATGGATAATGTGCTTTGTTGAAAACCTTGAATTTGGCATAAGGCATCTTTTCAAATGAGGACCAAGCTTGAATCTCGATTCAATGGTGACATTTAAGCGACACGTTTTCTTAAAATTTAAATCTCAATGAATGATTCTATTGATTACAAATACTTTTGGAGCTGATCCACAAAAGTTAGATGAAAATTCAGCTGGCAAATACAGCGTTTCTGAGTACAGCATGGTGTCCAGGACCTTCTCCTAAAACTAGGACCTTATGTTTGATGGGCCCTAGTTTATACAGATAACAATTCCGTTCAGATTTTGTGAATATCTTTAAAAATTATAGTCCATTGCTTGAGAGGAGACATGCCTGAACCCTACCGCCTGGATAAAAGCACAGCAACCGCAATCCAATTTTGCTTTGGTACTTGACGTCCATTCAAAAACTTCATTAACCAGTGTTAGCACATTGATGCAGATAAATAGGGATTTAACTGGTCCAAGCAACTTGGATTATAGGGAAAAAATCTTAATTATAGCTAAGATCTAATAAACGGTTTATTAGATCTTAGATTATAGATAAAACAATTTTGCAAGGAAGAAAATTAAAACGCCTTCTTAAACCGAGTACTTTTTTAAAATCAATTGTGGACTTCCTTACCCCATCCCGTAACGAGCACACTCACACGGAGAACAAAACAACAGAAGCCACATATTGGTATGAAATGCGTATAAAATTTATTTCCATGTGACGTAAAATAATCCTACACGATGTACTGACAACCAGTCATTCCTATGGCATGCCTCCTACAGCGTCTTGCAACGGACGCCAGAAGACCCCAGTACTAGTACACTACTCTAACAGTGTCCCAGCCACTTCACCCGAGACAGGTGTTCTAGAACCCTGACAGTAAGTTACACTTTGTGTTTCTTCTTCTACTTCTTTGACACAATTCTCAATTACCACGACACTTAAATACAGAAAATATTACGAAAACCTTCATTCGAGCCAATTATAAAGCTCTCTTATTTAAATACACTGTTTCTGTGGACTTCACCTTCTAACTTGAATAAATTTACAATGGCACCAGTAGAAAATGACTTGTATTCATGTATGTTTGTATGTATACCAAGTTCACCACAAGCACATGTAAAGCTGCTTTTTGTTTTTCTTTAATACGAGATCAGGCACTTAGACCACACGAAATAGAAAAGGCACACCTCCCCACACAATTCAAACCTCTGTGTCTCGATTTCCACGTGTCATGGGAAAGGAGGCTCGTAACAAAATATACACAAATGAAGAAAAAATTGAACTATTCGATGTGGATATGCAGGGTCTATAATTTTCAATTGCTTATCTTATGTACAGGCTAATAAATTGAAATACTGACTTCACAAATGAATGAAACACATGGCATTGTGCCGATATTCAGCCATCCAAAATATACAATTTGGATAGGTATGCATGCTTTTAAACTAAAAATGACCAATATTCCCACTACAAAGAACAAAACACTTATCTGTACACATTAACTTCACTTAAATATTCTTTGGTCCACTTTCTAAATAGCTCCACAAACTAGCCTCTATTTCAACATTTCAGATTGATACATTGAACAATATTTGTTATTTAAACATTCTGTGCATTTTGCTTTGATACAGAGCTTGGTTGAAGATTGAAAAAGCAAACACAAATATGATGTGTTGATAAAATACATACAGCAATGGAACTGTACAAAATGCATTGTGTGCATCTGCATAGGTCACCTGAAGAGAGCTCATAGAGCTCCTCACGAAGGCAATGTTCATTAATCAGTTAAATGCACCAGATACAAATCTAGACCTATATAATCATATTATACAAATACCTGTCTTTATTTGTCATCTGTGCTCACAAGAGCACTTCTAAACCTCAGCACCAGTATTGCATTTCAAATGTTGCAGTGGAAGATGCCATGACAGTGGTTGCTATGGTAACCGACAATGGCATAGCAACGATTCTTACAGAATAACTGTAACCATGCCAACAGTGACCAAGGCATCTGATGCTACACCACCGTAAACAAATTATGTCTCTTTAAGGCAACCTCATTTTACTTCATTGGAATAACAACTGTACAATTCTAAAATGGTCTTTAAAAGTACGATTTCCTAGCTACTTCCTGAATTGTAAAATGATAATCTTCAGCTCTCTAGATATTGAATGCTGTTGTACTGTTGTCCAAAGGACCCAAGTCCACACTAGAGATACAAAGTCATACACTTTAAAACTTACACAACATGTGACATTGATTGTATCCAACATAAAACACTGAAAAAAACAAAAACTGTTGGATTTCTCAGAATGCTAGTGACATGACTGAGATTTTCAGCTCAGTAATTTATAATCAAAGGACACCTTAACCTTGTTCAGCAGGTTTCAATGGCAGCAATGTTGTCACACTTGAGTGTGCAAATGTGCGTTGGACATCTTTGATGAGATATTATCGTCACTATCATTGTCACTGAGGTTAATTTCGCTGTCCTCTATTTCACACAGTCCCGAGATGTCAGACATGGAGGCGTTAGTTGATGTATAGCCACCCATCGACACACTCATGTCATCCACAGCCGAGGCTGCGGATTGGTCATAGTCCGTGTAATAATCCATGGGGAAACGTCTTGGCACATTGGGGAAACCGTATTGAACATTATTGTCACCTGCAGCCATATTGTTCTGAGGCTCCCGAGGGGGTTCGGGCCAGCGATCGTGATCTCCATTCCCATCCACATTATAGTTGGGAAGGTACTGGTTGGGGTGGAGATTGTAATTCAGCTGCCCAGGTTGGTAATTATCGTCATAATTCAATTCTCCCTGTAACTGTAAGATTTGCTCAAAATTGGGAGGTTCAGGGAAATCTAAATTGTCATCATTGTCATCAAACTCGTCATCATCGTCGTCATCCTCATTCTCAGCATATTCCGAGTCTCCCACATATTCTGAATCATATTCTGGGAATTCTGAATCATAGGGGTACTGGTTGCTGTACTGCATGGGTGGGTTGCTTCCAGAGGCCTCATTGGCTATCACAGTGTTGGAGCCTCCGCTTTGGTTACTCCTGCTACTGGAGGCTGGAGAGTCTGGGACTTCCTTCATAGGCACTTCTGTGATGTTAGGTAATGCTGGGTTAGGGGCCCAGTCTGAGGCATCCCAGTGGTAACCTGGCAACAGAGAAGACATGTTGAATGAGGAATGCTGGGATAATGATAGTGTCAGGTGAGAAAATGTGGAACATTTCCTAGTTCCCTTTCAATGATAACTGTCATGTGCTTTTTTTTATCATGAACGAGTGCATTTGTGAACTTCCAGACAGGAAAGAAAAGACTTAACAACAATCATTAACAAAAACTAGTGATTTTAGAGAATATTTAACATGTAAAGCTACATATTCATGAGACAAGAATATAGAAAGTTAAGATACAAAATAACATATTCAGCTTGCATGAAATAATATCATTCATGAAGAAACTAGTTTTACTTCCGGTTATCAGAAGCTAATATTGGATAAATGATCAGGGCATGCATTGTGATACCACATGCTTTGCACCCCACTGTTATTAGATGTTTTAGGAAAGAAATGAAAAAATCATTCTGATAGGAACAGACTTAAGTTTTGATAAACATGTTGCTTGTATTATACTGCTGATATGGTAAGCCTCATTTAAAGATTTTTGGTTGGAAAATATAATTCAATCATTCTGAAACCTGTTCCTTTTTAACATGGCTAAATTTTAGTGAGGTCAATAATAATTATTGTTTGTTCTGCTTGGCATTATGAATCTTCTTGAACAATAAAGAATCATATTTGTGCCTCCACTGTGGCTGGAAAAAAACAGTCATGCAATTATATTCCAGTTCCCTTCACAGGCAAGTGGTTCTCTTTGCGTTAAGTGTGATCCCCCCATTGTGTTAGATGTGATCCCATTGTGTTAAGTGTGATCCCATTGTGTTAGGTGTGACCCCATTGCGTTAGGTGTGATCCCACAGTGCATACCATGGTCAATATAGTTATCATCACAGAAATCACAATTGTTGCCGTGAAAGGATCTGCTGTCAATATTCAGAGTAACATGCACTGCTTCTATGATGTGGTGATTGCTATATTGGGCATGCTGTGTACTTATTAATTTTCCTCAATATATCTCTAATAGATATGTCAATTGATATCTGTATATCATATAACTGGTGGTAATCCTAAGGCCATATGTCTACGGATATATGTGCTCTTGCTGTTATGTGAAACTCCTACAGGAATATTGCTATGTTTTAAAAACTTATAACTTCTTTCAACTCAAGGGGAGGTACATAAACGGATAGGACAAAATACAAAATATGATTCACAAACACCACCTCACTATAGGCCACCACACTTGGACTCAAGTGACGAGGGGAAGGGGATCTAAAATCAACTTATGTTTGACACCAGTTGGAAAATAAAACCAAATTCCATCAAAACCAGATAACATCACGATGCAATAAAATATATGCATATCATAAAGAAAAATTGTATGATTATAGACAAAAACACATGCACATGTCAAAGAAAAAATAGATAGTCAACCAATCACATGATAGCCAGGTAATGCAGAATTGCTTTTAGTACTTAAATGATTATATTAAAGAAACAGATTCTATACATATTTTTCTTCTATGCATCAGCAACAGAGCCCAATCCCATACTGATAGAAGGAAGGAGTAATGGACGAAAAAAGAGAAAGGACTGTACATAAAGCTTTATTTGAAATACAAAATTCTAAAGTAAGAAAATTCCTTAAAGGGGATAGAAATTTTATGAAAATAAAGAAGGCCCAAACCACTTTTGGTTTTACTCATATATGATTTCACTCATTCTTTTCTACTTTCTGCTGTAATATATAATAACAATTTTTAAAAATAAATAAAAATAATATGTTGGCAAAGGGATTTTTGGTGGTTAAAACAAACAGGAGGGAAGAAAGAACACTGAAACTAATGCACAGAAGACATCTACAACAAGATGAGTGTAAGTGTTCAGTGGGTCCGCTACCACTAGGGGGCGCTACCACTAGAGGGTGCAGGAAAATACCTCTCTTCCCACGATTGGCTGCCGTAAAGGAACGAAGATTTGCACGCGTTAGATTTGAGATTGCTACAAGAAAGAAATGGTCATGACAGTTGAACAATCTTAACTATATACACTAAGAGTTATATCATATACTAATACTAGCCACCATCTTCTTCAGCTATAGCTAGGACATTCCAATATGTCCTTCTACACCAGGCCTTTATGACTAGTATGCTGCAAGAAATAATGCATTAACCTCTCTTTCTCATGGATTTCCCCCATACTGTAACATGACATATACTATAAGAAGTACCATACCATCTCTAGCTAAATAGTGCATGCAACATCCAATATACATTTATTTTCTACTCAAGTTGTAGAATCTATACTTGTGGAGAATTCAGAGTTCACAAAGTTCATAATATTTAACCATTTACATTACAAGGTAATAAAACTGAGCCATAAAAGGACATCTTTCTTACTTTCACTGAAAATATCTTCTTCTTATAACTTATAATATAAAGACATTCACATAAATATAATAAGAAACCTGAATCCAATATACAAAGTGCCCACCATGCTTCTCTCAAGTAATCCATACACTATAACCATGACATATCAAAAGTCATTTCAAGCATACAATGATACAATGCATAATTTCCAAACATTTCAAACTGTGCCCACAAGAGAGAGAGAGGAGGAACAAGATATCACATCAAGAGAGTATTGTACAACACTGCAAAGGAACTGAATACATCCTAATCTATTTTCCTGGTACAAATGGCAGATTATGATAAATTCCATATTGAAATACTCAAAATAAAAACACTGAGCACCAGTTTCTAAACAAGTGATCAAAAGTTAAGTAGTGGGCTATTTTGATGTATGATTTGCACAATTCCCCAGTTTGCACAATACAATACAATACATAGAAGAGCATGCCTCATGATGGTGATCAGAAAATAGGGAAAGAATTTACAAAATGTGCACAAGATAAATTACAGTCCAGAAACTTTTTTAACTGTTCAAAAAAAAGTAAAAAATATAAAATAGTGCAAAGCAAAGGTAGTACGTGAGATGGAAAATTTCAGAAACATTTTATGCTGAAAAACAGTGATCTACGCTCCAGACACACTCTTCAGCTTACAAATACATATCTTTAATAATCTACCTATAATTCTTTTCAACACACAAACAAAACACAGAGATCCAACTCATTAAGTGAAAGAGTACTTTTTCTAACAGGAATTGGCAAGGAGGATTATAGGATAAGCTAAACTAACAACCTGATTGCCTTGAAGTCAAGTTTACATATATTCCTAATATTAACCTTGGACAACAACCAGTTCAAATAGTTGTAAGACATGGATATGAATGAGAAACCAAACACACAACAAGTCCCATTCAAGACCAGGATGACAATACCACCTGTACTATATCTACTAAACATTTAATGTCCAATACAAATAATGAAAGCCACCCCAACCTATATATATATAAATATCAGTATATCTGCAAGGTTCCTTCAAGCTGCTGATCCTATATGTATCCCATTACAATGTATAAAATATTTGTTAAAGAATACCTACAAATATTTATAAATTTTATCTATAATATGACAATGTTTAAATTTATCAACACTGTATCAATACATATCAACATTGTATCAATTCATATCAATGCAGTATCAATACATATCAACACTGTATCAATACATATCTACACTGTATCAATACATCTCAACATTGTATCAATACATCTCAACATTGTATCAATACATACCCATCTCATCCTCAGACTCCTGCAGACTGCTCATAGAGCCAGGGCCTGCATCCTGGAACTGCTGCCTGGCCTGCTGGAGCGCCGTTAGTCTGCTGTCAGTACTGCTCTTGGGGTCACCTGGACAGAGATGAGGGGAAAATGAATTCAGNATTGTGCATACCATGGTCAATGTAATTATCATCACAGAAATCACATAATTGTTGCCGTGAAAGGATCTGCTGTCAATATTCAGAGTTACATGCACTGCTTCTATGATGTGGTGATTGCTATATTGGGCATGCTGTGTACTTATTAATTTTCCTCAAAATATCTCTAATAGATATGTCAATTGATATCTGTATATCATAAGACTGGTGGTAATCCTAAGGTCATATGTCTATGGATACATGTGCTCTTGCTGTTATGTGAAACTCCTACAGGAATATTGCAATGTTTTAAAAACTTATACCTTCTTTCAACTCAAGGGGAGGTACATAAACGGATATGACAAAATACAAAATATGATTCACAAACACCAACTCACTAAAGGCCACCACACTTGGACTCAAGTGACGAGGGGAAGGGGATCTAAAATCAACTAATGTTTGACACCAGTTGGAAAATAAAACCAAATTCCATCAAAACCAGATAACATCACGATGCAATGATAATATATGCATATCATAAAGAAAAATTGTATGATTATAGACAAAAACACATGCACATGTCAAAGAAAAAATAGATAGTCAACCAATCACATGATAGCCAGGTAATGCAGAATTGCTTTTAGTACTTAAATGATTATATTAAAGAAACAGATTCTATAAGTATTTTTCTTCTATGCATCGGCAACAGAGCCCAATCCCATACTGATAGAAGGAAGGAGTAATGGACGAAAAAAGAGAAAGGACTGTACATAAAGCTTTATTTGAAATACAAAATCCTAAAGTAAGAAAATTCCTTAAAGGGGATAGAAATTTTATGAAAAAAAAGAAGGCCCAAACCACTTTTGGTTTTACTCATATATGATTTCACTCATTCTTTTCTACTTTCTGCTGTAATATATAATAACAATTTTTAAAAATAAATAAAAATAAAATGTTGGCAAAGGGATTTTAGGTGGTAAAAACAATCAGGAGAGAAGAAAGAACACTGAAACTAATGCACAGAAGACATCTACAACAAGATAAGTGTAAGTGTTCAGTGGGTCCGCTACCACTAGGGGGCGCTACCACTAGAGGGTGCAGGAAAATACCTCTCTTCCCACGATTGGCTGCCGTAAAGGAACGAAGATTTGCACGCGTTAGATTTGAGATTGCTACAAGAAAGAAATGGTCATGACAGTTGAACAATCTTAACTAGATACACTAAGAGTTATGTCATAAACTAATACTAGCCACTGTCTTCTTCAGCTATAGCTAGGACATTCCAATATGTCCTTCTACACCAGACCTTTATGACTAGTATGCTGCAAGAAATAATGCATTAACCTCTCTTTCTCATGGATTTCCCCCATACTGTAACATGACATATACTATAAGAAGTACCATACCATCTCTAGCTAAATAGTGCATGCAACATCCAATATACATTCATTTTCTACTCAACTTGTAGGATCTATACTTGTGGAGAAATTAGAGTTCACAAAGTTTACAATATTTAACCATTTACATTACAAGGTAATAAAACTGAGCCATAAATGGACATCCTTCTTACTTTCACTGAAAATATTTTCTTCAATATAACTTATAATAAAAAGCATTCTCATAAATATAATAAGAAACCTGAATCCAATATACAAAGTGCCCACCATGCTTCTCTCAAGTAATCCATACACTATAACCATGAAATATCAAAAGTCATTTCAAGCATACAATGATACAATGCATAATTTCCAAACATTTCAAACTGTGCCCACAAGAGAGAGAGAGGAGGAACAAGATATCACATCAAGAGAGTATTGTACAACACTGCAAAGGAACTGAATACATCCTAATCTATTTTCCTGGTACAAATGGCAGATTATAATAAATTCCATATTGAAATACTCAAAATAAAAACACTGAGCACCAGTTTCTAAACAAGTGATCAAAAGTTAAGTATTGGGCTATTTTGATGTATGATTTGCACAATTCCCCAGTTTGCACAATACAATACAATACATAGAAGAGCATGCCTCATGATGGTGATCAGAAAATAGGGAAAGAATTTACAAAATGTGCACAAGATAAATTACAGTCCAGAAACTTTTTTAACTGTTCAAAAAAAAGTAAAAAATATAAAATAGTGCAAAGCAAAAATAGTACGTGAGATGGAAAATTTCAGAAACATTTTATGCTGAAAAACAGTGATCTACGCTCCAGACACACTCTTCAGCTTACAAATACATATCTTTAATAATCTACCTATAATTCTTTTCAACACACAAACAAAACACAGAGATCCAACTCATTAAGTGAAAGAGTACTTTTTCTAACAGGAATTGGCAAGGAGGATTATAGGATAAGCTAAACTAACAACCTGATTGCCTTGAAGTCAAGTTTACATATATTCCTAATATTAACCTTGGACAACAACCAGTTCAAATAGTTGTAAGACATGGATATGAATGAGAAACCAAACACACAACAAATCCCATTCAAGACCAGGATGACAATACCACCTGTACTATATCTACTAAACATTTAATGTCCAATACAAACAATGAAGGCCACCCCAACTTATATATATATAAATATCAATATATCTGCAAGGTTCCTTTAAGCTACTGATCCTATATGTATCCCATTACAATGTATAAAATATTTGTTAAAGAATACCTATAAATATTTAAATTTTATCTATAATATGACAATGTTTAAATTTATCAACACTGTATCAATACATATCAACATTGTATCAATTCATATCAATGCAGTATCAATACATATCAACACTGTATCAATACATGTCTACATTGTATAAATACATATCTACATTGTATCAGTACATATCTACATTGTATCAATACATACCCATCTCATCCTCAGACTCCTGCAGACTGCTCATAGATCCAGGGCCTGCATCCTGGAACTGTTGCCTGGCCTGCTGGAGTGCCGTCAGTCTGCTGTCAGTACTGCTCTTGGGGTCACCTGGACAGAGATGAGGGGAAAATGAATTCAGAAAATACACAGACTTGTGGACTGGTTATCTAGCTCGAGTAAATGATTGGCTAAAGTATTTCAAATGGACCATTAGAGTAACAAAATTGATATCACACACACACACACACAAAACGGAACTCCACAATTAACTCACGTGATGTAAAGTTTATATAAAGACACTAGCCAAGTGTCTATAAGATTGGTAAGAATATATTTAACAAAGAGTTGAATATCTTCTCAGACAACTTACCTCCAGTGAAGGTCTCCATGTTGTTTGACATGGGGTATTCAAACTCCCAGGCAGGTTTCTGGATGGACTCGCTGTCAGAGGCAGACAATGTAGGCAGACTAGGAGCAATACTAGCCCCAGATTTCTCAAAGTTCAAATTCTGCAGGAATTCTGGGATCACTATAGGCATATGGATGCTCTCCAACTCCTCCGCGGCACTCCCATAATTCCTGACTGTGTCGAAGTTGTTCAGCGTGTTCACGGAGTCGTGCGTACTTGGCGTGTACGAGGCGGGACGGTTGGGGACAGGGGGCGGTCGCGGGCTGGGAGGAATGTTCGGAACCACTGCTGCTGCATCAATGTTGCTGAGTTTGCTTCTGCTGTACTCTTCCTGGTTACAGTTCAGAATCATGTTGTCTGTCTCGTTGTCCAGAGCATCTTGGCGAATCCTCTCCTGTCTGCGTTTCTTTCGTACAACATGGCGCCTCACCACCACAAAGATGATGACGATAAAAAGGATGCCAACCACACAACCTGAAATCAAACATTTTCCATGAAATTCACATTTACTTTCTTTTTTTCATGCAGGGTTGGTCCTAAGAAAATATATCTCATTAATTTGCAGTTTTTCTTTTATGAAATGCCCTGACAGAGAAATGTAAGCAGCACATTTAGTATACTGGTCTACAAATTTACTCAAGGAAATATTTGTCCAATGATCTTGATCATGATGATGGTGATGTTGGGATGTAAATGAAGATACTCACCTGCTGTGACAGCTATCTCCTCTATATCAAAGCCAACTCCAAATTTGCCCGCAGTGACGGAGACAGGGAAGTCGATGACGTCACACAGGTCACCTTGACCTCCTTTGGTACAGTTACAGATGAAGCCGCCATAGGTGTTGTGACAGCTGCCTCCGTTCTTGCACGGATTTCTCACCTTGCACTCGTCAATGTCGTACTCACAGTGAGGACCTGGAGGGGGCAAGATTTGGATCACAGTTTTTTTTTAGACAATTAGTTAAACCTTCCCTACTCTGATATAATACATACACAGCATTTACCTAAAACCATGAACAATATAAGTATCTCTGTTATAGTCCAGGCCTGTAGCCAGGGGGGGTTCGGGGGGTTCGAAAGAACCGCCCCTTTTGCTGGGAAAAGGTCCACTCTGGGTAAAATTTGTTCTAGGTACATGAAGGTTTAATGGGAAAATGTCCACATTTTCAGAAAAAGAACCCCCCTTTTGAAATTGCTGGCTACGGGCCTGTAGTCTATCTGCAATATCTGAAGTATGTGAGAATATGTATACGGATAAACACGCACTAAATGTGAATAGTAAAAGAAATTCCTACAAAAGATTCTATTAAACAAAATAGTAAGCATACCTTCAAAATTGTTCCCACAGTTGCAAGTGGGCCCAGTCAGGCCCTCGCTGCATACTCCTCCATTTTTGCAAGGGTTGGGCAGACAGTAGAAGCCATAATCACACCTCTTGCCTGTGATCTGCCCCTTACAGTGACAGCGGAAGTCATTGGACAGATTAATACAGGTACCTAAAGGAATAACAACTGGATTACTATTGGTCCTTTTAAAACAGTGACAGTGGAGGTCATTGGACAGATTAATACATGTAATTGGTGGAATATATCACAGGAAAGTAATTTCTGACCCTGTGACAATCTCATTCATTTCTACTGACAATCTTTAAACAAAAAAGGGAGAAACTTTACACTGATTATCTAAAATAAACATATTCTGCGTCTCATTTTGCATTTATCATGAAGATGTCAGTGAGTGTTTCCTTACCTCCATGTAAACAGGGGCTGCTAGCACAGGGGTCCTTGTCAAATTCACAGGTCACCCCCTTAAAGCGGGAGTGGCAGTCGCAGCGGAATCCAGAAGACTGACCTGGTGTTGGGGTGCATGTGCCTCCATTATGACATGGAATACTGCGACACACACCTACAATATAGAGAGAGTTATAGCGGGAGTGATGATAAATGCAAAAATTCTTCAATCTTGATATGACAAATTAAAAATTTTGGTCTAAATTAAATGACAACAATTAATTTTTTAACTGATTTATATTATGAAATTTCCACTGAACATTTTCACTTAGTGACCCATGTATACATAAAAATATATATGTTTTTCTTTTTTCATTTATGAAGTATCTGACGTGTATGAAAACAAATGTCCTAAAAAATATAAAAACATGGATAAATACTGACCTATGCCAGGCAAATCTGCATCACAACTAAATTTCACATTGGATAACTTCTGCACTGTTGCAACAGCATTGCTGTTCTTATATGGTAATATCTGCCCCTTGACCTTCACCTCCTTCATACAACCAAGGAAGCTCTGCCGTATGGTCTGCGTGCTGTCTTGTACTTCGGCACCAAAGTACACAGAGTTCCCATACAGGTTTACCACGATGTGGGTCCCTGGGGCATTGGCCTCATCTGTGAACTTGTCGTCAAGCGTGAGGGTAGCATGGTTGCCATGGCGCTCTACTGTGATTTTGTGCCAGCTGCCATCGTTGATCTTCTGCTGAGAGATTCTGACCAATCCTGGCCCACTGCCGCAGTCAAAGCGGTACTGGATGTAGCCATTGGACAGCTGAAACAGTGTCCAGTTAAAACATTACCAACCCTCAAGAAAGCTTTGTAAATGTCTTAGCATTCTACCAGTGAATTACATTTCTTAAATAAAATTTCAATACGTAGGCAAAGGCAACAATCAGTTTTAAACTTTTAGTTCTCAAATGTTTGTGATAGCTTAGCACTCACTACACTTTACTCACCTCTAGCACACTGAAATCAGACTCCCCTGTGGCATACATCAACATAGCTGATGCCTGCAGGGTGCGGAGGCTCATGGACAAACTGAGGCGGCGACGGATGGTCTCCTTCAGTATCCAGTGGGCAAAACTGTCACCTGCAAAGGGAACATGGACATTTTGTTGTTATTATTGTTAATGATCATCTACAGATACACCAATTCCCTGATATGACTGTAGTTGAAAAGAATGCATTTCAAACTCTTTTTAACATCAAGATTAACAACATACAGACCAAGTGCAATAAGTTTACAAATCTAAAAATGGTTCTGCGGCCTAACGAGTGAGAGTGTGGGGGCATATAAAGGAAGAATACTGCCAAGAAAAAATAGGGAAATGATCACCTCTGAAATTATATGACAGAGTAGAAGAAAAGGTTCACGTCTAAAAAAATACAGAGACATGAGATTTGCAAGAGAACATTTTAAAATGTACAAGAGAAGAAAGTTAAAACCTTACAGTGACAGTGGAACACTGGTGACAGACAAAGAAATGCATCCCATACCTGAGAACATGAGGGGTTTCTGCTCCATACACGTGGAGTCTAAGCAGTTGTTGATGTCCTCTGGAAGATCCATCAGACACTTGGGTCCTGTCTTGCCACGCGGACAGATACATTTGTATCCATTCATATCTGGCTCACACTCTTTGTATGCTGGGCATGGATTATCAGAGCACTCGTTGATCACCTGTGAGCACCTGTCACCGCCATAGCCCAGCCTACAGCGGCATTCTGGGACCAGTTGGAACTTCGCAGCCACGTAGCTCTCGCTCTCGGTGATGATTGGCTGAACTTGGCTCCTGTCAAAATGGATCATCATTTCACAGGAGCCTTTGTCGCAGTCGTCACGCTTGCAGACATCGTCCACGATTTTTAAAATTTGCACACCCATTTCAGTTTCCATTCTGTCTTTAGCTTGGGTCAGCTTTCTGTGCAGAGCTCTGCGTTTGTAGTAGGTGCTACGAGATTTCTCAACAGCCAACAGAACATCAAGATCTGAGCTGACATCTCGTTTTTCTCGGACTTCTGGTGTTGTCAAATGTGCAGGCTGCACGCTGAGAATGTAGATGTCCTGAATGCGTGGGGTCAATCCCTGCCAAAGGATTTGCCTGAACTTGTTCTTATGTAGTGTAATAAACTCTTCAGGGAGCATGTTCTTAAAACGGACGGCCACCGCGTGCTCCACCATGTCCTCAGTGATGACAGACACGTCCAGCTTCACCTCTCCATAGGTGACAAATTTCCCATCCGTGACGCTGACATTCAGGATGTACATGCCAGCGTCCAGCCCACTGAAGGCAGTGATGGTACCATTCTGCTCACTGATAGAAAACAGACTTCGATCAGAGACCAAGTTATAGGTCAGTTTATCGTATGTGTCCCTGTCGACAGCCTTGATCCTCCCAATAGTGCCTCCTGGAAACTCATCCAAGTATGAGCTAATTGATAATGTCAGTGGGGTAATCTGAGGCGGATAGGTCGGCTCTTCAATGATCCTCACAGTGACATAGGTGTCGGAGAACAAGCGAGGAGTGCCGTTATCATGGACCCGCACTATCAAATCGTACACATCTTGTACTGTGCGGTCAAACGTTGCCGTGGTGATCAACACGCCATTGTCATTGATGCGGAACTCGTTGTTGTAGTTTCCTTCAATGATGTTAAAAGTGAACGGCGGCCCATTAATCCTGGTGTCCTGGTCACTTACTATGAACCTCAATGTGGAAAATCCTGCCTCACGATCCTCCTACAAAATCAAAAAGGTTTTACTGTAAAATTTATATCAACGAAAGAGATATAAGTCTGGCAAATGTAGTTTTTCTTGCCAATTCTTGTTTTCAGATTGATCAAGTTTAATTTCTTATCTATGGTAAAAGATTTGTTTTGTGAAAAAAAAAAGTATTCTGGTACTACGGAGATTCCCAAAGAAACTCATACCTGCAAATTTAAGCATAAAACTAAACTGTAGTACTTCAGCATATTTAACATGCACACACATATACACATACACATACATTCTAACAAACATGCTTAATAAACAACATGTACTTAATTTGCACATATGACCTATTTACACATAACTACACCTACATTACATTCATTCACACTAACATATTAACTATACATCTATTATTTCATTCAAGACAAAGTACTATATATTGCCTTTATTACATAGAACACAGATATCATGTAGTGTCTAAAATAATAACAGGTTTAAGACTTTTTAAAACTAAGAATAGATATAATAAATTAGCAATTAACTATCCCTTGTAGATGCTCAATCTTATCTAACTTTCTGAACAAAACCTTATAATGCAGTGAAACAACATCAACAGGAATGAGAACACACTGCACTGAAATTTGTTTAATTTCCCAAAAAATGGTCTGAATCAGAGCAAAGAAATATACCAGGCATGTTCATTGATGTCATTTGTTTGAATCTGCACCGAGACATATTGGAGCATGGTATATAAGAAACAAGTCTATCTTTGCAATTAATCAACAAGTTTTTTAAAATATAATTTCCAAAATCAGGTGGTGTTACAATACAATAGTTCCCATTCCCAAATATGTGACATGAAATGTGAAAACAATGAAAAACAATCAAGCAAAATGTTAATATTTCAGACATTCTTGTGATCAGGCATCCACTGACATCATTCACAAACTGCAGAAACTAATAAAAAGCATTGTGACATTGCTGCAGGTGACATTATAACATAAAGCTTTCAAGACCACGAGATGCAAAAGTGACGCCATACAACAGCTGGTGACAAGACAAAGGCCTGGTGACAACACAAAACATGGTGACTTCACACAGCCCTGAGGGAGATGCAAGACGTGCAAATGCATGAGCACGCATGCATGAACATACTCTGATTGCTTGGGTGTCTGCGAGCACTCGACGTCGTACACTCCTACCCGTCTCGTCAACCTTTTGAGGTTGAAAGGGAAGCAAACGAAAACAAAATTTGTGGAGTTTTCTACTTGTACCACTAAAAGTACTGGTAATCAAGTTACATTCTTTAATTCAAAGCATGTAATTATGTTGAACAAAACCATTCACTACAACACTATAGAAATATTTGGATTATAACCGGTCATTCTAAGGCGGCTGTGAAGTTGTTCATAGCCCGAGCTAAAAAAACTCTTGTTAATCTGCAAGTTAAAGCCAGGAAGCATGGCCAGTCACGATTCTCAAGTGAAGTATCGCATCATCATGCCTTATACTAGAAACTGTTTATTTGTGAAGTGAAAATATATCATATATCTTTAAAACATAATTATCAAAATAAATTCATTCCAATACAGATACTGTTCAAACAAAAGTATCAGCACTAGTACATAGTTTTTTTCTTTTTAAAGGTATTATTTCAAATCCTCTTTTGATATTCCTCTAAAGCCTAAAAAAATACACCCTTTATCAATTTCCAGATTTGCTATCTTATGCTGAACCTTTTGAAACAGCCTCTACAGAATACTTCTTTACAAAGAATTTGTCTCTCCAGACTATGAAAGAAGACCACTTCTCATCCTGCACCCCTCCCTCTTGGTGAATAAAATAATAAAAACATGTCACTTTACCTGTACCACAGCTGTGTAATTGCTCTGAGAGAACTCAGGTGGGTTGTCATTGGCATCTCCCACTTCTACAATGACCACCACATTAGTGGACAGAGGTGGACTGCCCTGGTCAGTGGCGGTCACTTCAAGGCTGTATTTGGGAATCTGAAGAGGTGAGATATAGTATGACATATTTATAATACTGCCTTCATATCAGACCACTAGGTGGCAGCACCACACAGTGACGGGCCACTGCCAGGCAAGATAAGCCAGATAAGCACAGCTACAGTAAAAAAAGTTCAGCTTTAGAAAAAGAAAATGATATAAGTACATTGCAAAATTTACTTATTAGTTCAATCTTGCCATTAAATGTAAGCTGTAAGATTGACATCAACATTTCGCAGGAGAAAGTCAGTTAGAACTTCAAGACCAAAATTCATTCACAACCCAAATATAACATTATAGTAATTACCATTTCTCTATCAAGAGCCTCCTGAACCTTTATTTCTCCTGTCTTGGGGTTAATTTTAAACTGAGCCAGTTTGTCTCCCTTGGTGATGGCATAGGTGATGGCAGCATTCTCGCCACTGTCTCTGTCATCAGCCTGCACCTGAATACAGCAAGAAGAAGTGTCACTATGAGGCTGAACAGATGTTATTCTGTGGTCTGCTATGCTTTTGTGTGTCATAGATGTGACAGAATTATTGTCAGTTGTGACAGTGTGTTGATTGTGTTGGTAAAGGAGAGTGTTGATTGTGTTAGGTGTGACAGTGTGTTGATTGTGTTGGGTGTAGGAGTGTGTTGATTGTGTTAGTTGTGCCATTCCTATATTTACCTGTATAACACTATATCCCACATCCACATCCTCTCTCAGAGAAACACTGAACACTGCCTCACTGAAGATAGGAGCGTTGTCATTGTAATCTGTCACGTTAATCCTGACGACCGCCTGGTCACTCAGAGGAATCTGGCCATGATCTCTGGCCTCAACGGTCAACACATACTCCTTGACCAGCTCATAGTTCAGCAGCTTCTGAACTGAGATTTCACCTGAATTATAAATTATGAAATAATTATAACTATTCAATATTTTCAGTGAATATCTTTATCTCTCTTTAAATGATACCTATAAGTATATTTTATATTATTAACCCAAGGCATTTCTGAATACCTTCCCAGAACATTTCAAGGAGATTATTTTAATATTAAGAATAGTGAGATAGAAGAAAGCAACTGAGCTGAATAACTATTAAGTCCGTTTTTGAACATTTCACACACTATCCAACAACTTTCCTTACTCTATTCCTCACGGAGGAATGACACCATTCAAAAATCCAGTAATTACATACAAGACTTAAGATAATCACCCCAAGCCCCTTCTCACCTGTCTCTGCGTCAATGGCAAATACACCTTGGTTGTTCCCGCCCACAATGGAGTAAGCAATCCTGGCATTTTCCCCGATGTCCTTGCTAGTGGCCTTCACAGTGGTCACCACACTGGTCAGCTGCTTGTCCTCACGCACACTCACAGCGTACATGGACCGACTAAACACTGGAGGGTTGTCGTTGATGTCCGTCACGCTGACCAGTAGCTGCGCGGAGGAAGTCAAGCTGGGAGTACCCTGGATGGTGTGAAGTTAAAATTTATGATTTGTTTTCTTTTTTTATTTAATGTATGTATTTATCTTCTGAGCCTGAATAATACTGACTTGGAGTAAAAATTGTTTTACTGTAAACTTCACTTATTCAAAACAAGTCTACAACTCATTTGTTATTTCAATAAGAAATGTTTGGGACAAATAATTTTTGTTTCATTTCATCTTTAGTAACCAGATACTATTCAAACATCAGCACGTAATAATAGATATAAATGGTAAATTTCATCACTCCCAATTCCTCACCTTGTCATAGGCATACACTGTGACATTATAGAAGGCCTTGGTCTCCCTGTCCAGTGAACTGTTCAAACTTATCACTCCGCTGTCAGGGTTGATTCTGAACGGGATCTTGGACTCCAACATCAGGTAGTGTACCTTACGATTTAAACCTGGGAAAGACACACCAGTGGTGAATATCAAGTTTTTGTTGAACTTTCGTACTCTTTTCATGACATTTATATAAATATTATCATTACTTTAATGTGTTTCCTTTTTTCAAAGAGAACATGAAGCTGAATCGTTACATCATGAGAAATTCCACAGCTGACGACCCACATTGTAAGCAGAAACAATGCAGATTACATAAAAAAACCACATTCTATCATCCACCAAGTCAGAAAAAAAAAAGCCCTGTTCAAGAGGCTTTGCTCACCTATATCACTATCAATGGCAGAGACCCTGGTGAGGAGGGTATTGGGTTCAGCATTCTCAGGGATGGCCACTGTGTATTCAGTTCTGTCAAACCTGGGTGGGTTGTCATTTACATCAATGAGGGTGACATACAGCTCTGTGGTGCAGGACTTTCCCCCCCTGTCTACTGCCCTCACCATCAGCTGGTACTCCGCAGCCGTCTCCCTGTCCAGGGGGGCAACTGTAGTGATGATACCTACAAGAAAGAGAGTCACTGATTTAAGATTCAACCCACAGTGGGCAAGGAAATCATTCACAAATATCTATCTTCTTGAGTAAAGGACATGTGATGACAAATAAATAAAGTGATGACAAATATACCAACAGAGGTGAAAACATCCTTGGTAGAGGTCAATATCTATCATTATTACAAATTATAATTAAGTCAACTTTTATATTTTTCACAGTATGTATTTTTAAAATAAATTGTAATTTTTTTCAAAAAAGCCAATATTGGAAAAAATTCATTCTTACATCAAACCTGAACATGTAAATCCACAGATATAAAATTCAATCCATCTAAACATTAGTATACATCCCACTGATATGGACATCTGAAATCGCCTACTTACCTGTCTTTTCATTCATTTCAAACATGTATGCCCCAGCGCCCTCTAGACTATATTCTATCTGTGCGTGTGACGTGCCTGGCTGGTCAGCATCTGTTGCCTGGATACGTCCCACAAAGCCACCAACCTCAAAGTCTTCTGGTTTCACCACCTGGTGTAGAGGCTGAGGACAAAATAGGAACAATAATATAATACATCAAACAACTTTGAGCAATCGGTGGTACAAAGATTTAATATATCCAATGATGTTGAGAATGTTTTTATTGTATTCCCCCTTTTTTAAGTTGAGTATCATTAAGTGTGCAACAAATTCACAAAGGGAAAAAATATTATTGACTCATTACTCTTACCTGTCCACAGTCAGGTGTGTTGTCATTGGTGTCTAGTACAGTAATATCCAGCTGACAGTGGGTGACAAACACTCCATCAGTGGCCGTCACCTGGAGACGATATTCTGATTTCTCTTCTCTATCCAGAGCTCGGCGGACATACACCTGGCCTTGACGATCCACATTAAACTGACCCAATATGTCACCGCTGGTAATATAATACACCACATCAATCCCAACTTCATCTTTATCTGATGTTGTCACGGTAACGATAGTCTGTCCAGGCAGGGCGTCCTCTTGAACAGTGCCCTGGTAGACATCTTTGCTGAAAATCGGCGGCTCATCGTTGATGTCCGTGACACGGATTCTGACAGTGGTGGTGTCATTAAGCTGTACATTAACACCCCTGTCCACAGCCACCACCTCTAGCTCATACTCCTCCACTGTCTCGCGGTCCAGTTCGGCCAAAGTACTGATCCACCCTGAGTGTGAGTCCAGGCTGAAGACACTGACCACCTTTTCCTGAGTGTCCTTACTGAAGCTGTAGATGAGGTCCGAGTTGGTCCCAGTGTCATTATCATAGGCCTTGATCTGGATGACCTTACTGCCGATATTGGCATTCTCGGGAATGCTGATACTGTAAGGCTTGGAGTCAAAATGGGGAGCGTTGTCGTTTATATCTTGTAACTGCACCACGACCTCAGCGGTTGCCACCAGAGGGGGTGTGGTCTGGGACTCCACGCGCACGTGCAGGGTGAACATTTTAGTGGTCTCGTAATCCAGAGCCTCCTTCACAGAGATCCTCCCCTGCTCATCAATCTGAAACTTCTCCGGGTTGTTGGTCATCGGGCTCTGCCCCGGGATGATCTTGTAGACCAACGTCTGGTTACCTTCGGACTTGGCATTCACCATGGCAACCACCGTGCCGACAGGTTTGTCCTCTGTTATAAAGTACGGACCTGGTGGGGACTCCAGCTGTGGGGGCGTGTCCGAGGGGCCCATTACCAGGATTTCTATGGGGACCTCACTGACTGTGTTGGAGCCTCCCACTGACTTGGCTCTCATGAAGAACTGGAATACCTGGTTCACTGGAAGTGGAGGAAGAGAGAGACAAAGGTCAGAATGTGTTGACAGTCAGTGGATATAATTTAACACAGCAAATATAACAGTCACAATATTTTGTAAATTACGTATAAGACTGTAAATTATGTTCAACAGAATGGTAACAGAATGGTGTCTATGAAATGTTTTAATAAAATATTCTTCATTTTAAAACCATGATAAAATGCTGTTTTCAATTTAAAAACTTAATTTCATAAAAGTGTACCCTAGTCAACTTGTGCAGGCCAAACTGTTGTCTGTGTCTAACAAATATAGTATTTTGGCTAATAAATATAGTATTTGGCTAACAACAGTTACTTTATATAGTCAGTGTGACTAACAAGTATAGTCAGTGGCTAACCTGAATCCCTTAAGCTTTTCTTCACTTTGACCACTCCAGTTTTACGGTGGACCTTGAAGAGGGAGGAGGCACTGGACCCGTCCACAATACTGTACTGGACCTCCCCAGTGATGTCTGCATCAGATGCTTCAACCTGTAATACAAAGATACAATGTGAAAAATTGTGTAAATTGTTGAGGTAAAATATTGTAAAATCAAGTCTGAAGACTTCTTGTTATGGCATTCTGCAGTTGAATATACACATCTGTGATACAGAAACTTTATTCCTACTGAACACATACAGCTAACAATTTTTTTTTGATACTGAAATCTTTTAAATCCTTGAATTTCAACTTTAATACCACAAGAAGACTGGAAAACATACATAAATTGTCCACAGACTTACCAATAATTCACCCATTCCCATTCACACGCGTGCGCACACACAGAAATTATTTGTTTAAGCATTCAAATTATAAATCATTGTCAGTAATTGTCTCACCTTGATGACACTAGATTCCTCTGCAGCATCAGCAAACACATTAGCTTTATATTCCTGAGCAAAGAAGCTGGGTTTGNACTCACAAGTCGCCCCCTTAAAGCGGGAGTGGCAGTCGCAGCGGAATCCAGAAGACTGACCTGGTGTTGGGGTGCATGTGCCTCCATTATGACATGGAATACTGCGACACACCCCTACAATATAGAGAGAGTTATAGCGGGAGTGATGACAAATGCAAAAATTCTTCAATCTTGATATGACAAATTAAAAATTTTGGTCTAAATTAAATGACAACTATTAATTTTTTAACTGATTTATATTATGAAATTTCCACTGAACATTTTCACTTAGTGACCCATGTATACATAAAAATATATATGTTTTTCTTTTTTCATTTATGAAGTATCTGACGTGTATGAAAACAAATGTCCTAAAAAATATAACAACATGGATAAATACTGACCTATGCCAGGCAAATCTGCATCACAACTAAATTTCACATTGGATAACTTCTGCACTGTTGCAACAGCATTGCTGTTCTTATATGGTAATATCTGCCCCTTGACCTTCACCTCCTTCATACAACCCAGGAAGCTCTGCCGTATGGTCTGCGTGCTGTCTTGTACTTCGGCACCAAAGTACACAGAGTTCCCATACAGGTTTACCACGATGTGGGTCCCTGGGGCATTGGCCTCATCTGTGAACTTGTCGTCAAGCGTGAGGGTAGCATGGTTGCCATGGCGTTCTACTGTGATTTTGTGCCAGCTGCCATCGTTGATCTTCTGCTGAGAGATTCTGACCAATCCTGGCCCGCTACCGCAGTCAAAGCGGTACTGGATGTAGCCATTGGACAGCTGCAACAGTGTCCAGTTAAAACATTACCAACCCTCAAGTATGCTTTGTAGGTGTCTTTACATTCTACCAGTGCATTACATTTCTTACATAAAATTTCAATATGTAGGCACAGGCAACAATCAGTTTTTAATTTTTGGTTCTAAAATGTTTTTGATAGCTTAGCACTCACTTATCACTTTACTCACCTCTAGCACACTGAAATCAGACTCCCCTGTGGCATACATCAACATGGCAGATGCCTGCAGGGTGCGAAGGCTCATAGACAAACTGAGGCGGCGACGGATGGTCTCCTTCAGTATCCAGTGGGCAAAACTATCACCTGCAAAGGGAACATAGACATTTTGTTGTTATTATTATTAATGATCATCTACAGATATACCAATTCCTTGATATGGCTGTAGTTGAAAAGAATGCATTTCAAACTCTTTTTAACATCAAGATTAACCACATACAGACCAAGTGCAATAAGTTTACAAATCTAAATATGGTTCTGTGCCCTTACGTGTGAGAGTGTGGGGGCATATAAAGGCAGAAAACTGCCAAGAAAAAATAAGGAAATGTTCACCTCTGAAATTATATGACAGAGTAGAAGAAAAGGTTCATGTCTAAAAAATACAGAGACATGTGGTTTGCAAGAGAACGTTTTAAAACGTACAAGAGAACAAATTTACAACCTTACAGTGACAGCAGAACACTGGTGACAGAATAAGAAATGCACCTCATACCTGAGAACATGAGGGGTTTCTGCTCCATACACGTGGAGTCCAGGCAGTTGTTGATGTCCTCTGGAAGATCCATCAGACACTTGGGTCCCGTCTTGCCACGCGGACAGATACACTTGTATCCATTCATATCTGGTTCACACTCTTTGTATGCTGGGCATGGGTTATCAGAGCACTCGTTGATCACCTGTGAGCACCTGTCACCACCATAGCCCAGCCTACAGCGGCATTCTGGGACCAGTTGGAACTTCGCAGCCACGTAGCTCTCACTCTCGGTGATGATTGGCTGAACTTGGCTCCTGTCAAAATGGATCATCATTTCACAGGAGCCTTTGTCGCAGTCGTCACGCTTGCAGACATCGTCCACGATTTTTAAAATTTGCACGCCCATTTCCGTTTCCATTCTGTCTTTAGCTTGGGTCAGCTTTCTATGCAGAGCTCTGCGTTTGTAGTAGGTGCTACGAGATTTCTCAACAGCCAACAGAACATCAAGATCTGAGCTGACATCTCGTTTTTCTCGGACTTCTGGTGTTGTCAAATGTGCAGGCTGCACGCTGAGAATATAGATGTCCTGAATGCGTGGGGTCAATCCCTGCCAGAGGATCTGCCTGAACTTGTTCTTATGTAGTGTAATAAACTCTTCAGGGAGCATGTTCTTAAAACGGATGGCCACCGCGTGCTCCACCATGTCCTCAGTGATGACAGACACGTCCAGCTTCACCTCTCCATAGGTGACAAATTTCCCATCCGTGACGCTGACATTCAGGATGTACATGCCAGCATCCAGCCCACTGAAGGCAGTGATGGTACCATTCTGCTCACTGATAGAAAACAGACTTCGATCAGAGACCAAGTTATAGGTCAGTTTATCGTATGTGTCCCTGTCGACAGCCTTGATCCTCCCAATGGTGCCTCCTGGAAACTCATCCAAGTATGAGCTAATTGATAATGTCAGTGGGGTAATCTGAGGCGGATAGGTCGGCTCTTCAATGATCCTCACAGTGACGTAGGTGTCGGAGAACAAGCGAGGAGTGCCGTTATCATGGACCCGCACTATCAAATCGTACACATCTTGTACTGTGCGGTCAAACGTTGCCGTGGTGATCAACACACCATTGTCGTTGATGCGGAACTCGTTGTTGTAGTTTCCTTCAATGATGTTAAAAGTGAACGGCGGCCCATTAATCCTGGTGTCCTGGTCACTTACTATGAACCTCAATGTGGAAAATCCTGCCTCACGATCCTCCTACAAAATCAAAAAGGTTTTACTGTAAAATTTATATCAACGAAAGAGATATAACTCTGGCAAATGTAGTTTTTCTTGCCAATTCTTGTTTTCAGATTGATCAAGTTTAATTTCTTATCTATGGTAAAAGATTTGTTTTGTGAAAAAAAAAGTATTCTGGTACTACGGAGATCCCCAAAGAAACTCATACCTGCAAATTTAAGCATAAAACTAAACTGTAGTACTTCTGCATATTTAACATGCACACACATATACACATACACATACACATACATTCTAACAAACATGCTTAAAAAACAACATGTACTTAATTTGCACATCTGACCTATTTACACATAACTACACCTACATTACATTCATTCACACTAACATATTAACTATACATCTATTATTTCATTCAAGACAAAGTACTACATATTTCTTTTATTATTTAGAACACAGATATCATGTGTTAAAAATAATAACAGGTTAAAGACTTTTTTAAACTGAGAATAGATATAATGAATAAGCAAGTAACTATCCCTTACATATGCTCAAACTAATAGATTCAATTTTATCTTACTTTCTGAACAAAACCTTATAATGCAGTGAAACAACAACATCAACAGGAATGAGAGTATTATGTATTGAAATGTGTTTGATTTGCCAAAAGATGATCTGAATCAGAGCAAAGAAATATACCAAGCATGTTCATTGATGTCATTTGTTTGAATCTGCACTGAGACATATTGGAGCATAGTGTATAAGAAACAAGTCTATCTTTGCAATTAATCAACAACAGTTTTTAAAATATAATTTCCAAAATCAGGTGGTGTTACAATACAACAGTTCTCATTCCCAAATATGTGACATGAAATGTGACAACAATAAAAAACAAGCAAAATGTTAATATTTCAGACATTCTTGTGATCAGGCATCCACTGACATCATTCACAAAATGCAGAAACTAATAAAAAGCATTGTGACATCGCTGCAGGTGACATTATAACATAAAGCTTTCAAGACCACGAGATGCAAAAGTGACGCCATACAACAGATGGTGACAACACAAACAAACGCCTGGTGACAACACAAAACATGGTGACTTCACACAGCCCTGAGTGAAATGCAAGACGTGCAAATGCATGAGCACGCATGCATGAACATACTCTGATTGCTTGGGTGTCTGCGAGCACTCGACGTCGTACACTCCTACCCGTCTCGTCAACCTTTTGAGGTTGAAAGGGAAGCAAACGAAAACAAAATTTGTGGAGTTTTCTACTTGTACCACTAAAAGTACTGGTAATCAAGATACATTCTTTAATTCAAAGCATGTAATTATGTTG